GCAAAGCGCTTAAAAAAGTTCTTCATGTACCTTAATTGTCTATAATTCGCCCCTGTAGAGTCCCAAGGTTGAATATTGGCTATGTTCACCTTCTTGAAAAGGCAAGGATGGGGAAGTCCTTGCAGAAAATGGCATAGATGCCAACTGATCAAGTTATAAAGACGGAATAATTCTACCGATTAGGAGATACCCACAAAAGACACTTTAAAAGTAGACATCTTGAAATTAGTTGTGCTTGAATTGAAATGAAGTGAAACTCTTCAGCATTGGTCTAACCCTCTAGTCTTGTTACTAAATGAAAGCCTTGCATGTTGTGGGTAATACATGTTTGGAAATTAAGACCGAATTGATGTTAAACAAACTGATCAGAATTTTTTTGATATGTTTATATTTGTGGCTTTTACACAATTTTCTTCCTATCGTATCGCAGTCCCAATGTTGCCACCGAACAATCCGAGCACGCCCTGCGTGCCTATCTTGGCAAACGCCTGACGGCCTTCAGTTTACAGGCCTTGGTCCGTAAAAAGCCAACACAACTGAGAATAAGACACGTCCATTTAAAACGTGATGATCAATTTCAAGATCCCGAAGACAGATGTACAGCTTCTTCCTCGCTTTTGTTTTAAGAATATCACAAAGGACTTCAAGAACCAACTTCTTGAAACTATTTAACGAATTTTCATGCGAAAGACCTTTACCTTTTTCTGGAAGAAAATATCATTTTACGAGTACGAGTGAGTGCGTGCTTTACTCGAGAATGTTTTTATTCATATCATTGTATGCTTTGTTGGTTGACGCACAGAAAATCTCTATGAAACATTCTGATGCAGCAAAACAATTTTCCACAATGGAATCCCGATTTTACGGTCATCGATTTAACGATCAACATTCTTTGTGTGAGTTCGTTATATAGTGAATGTACTGTGAAGGTCTCAGTGCATATGATTAAGAGATAAAAAGAATCGATTTACCAATTTACAATCCTCAAGAAATGCCGTGGGAAACTGGATTGTTTAATTTATGAAATGCTCTTCCAAAAACAAAAACCAACACTTAACATTCAATCTGACTCTATTAAAGCAAAACTTTTTATTTGACAGTTCAAGCGCACCACGCTTGGTATTTTTGTTCTTATTCATCGATTATTTTTATCTCTTAATCATATGCACTGAGACCTTCACACGTGCATTCACTATATAACGAACTCACATAACGTATCTTATTTGAATTTGAGGATGATGGCATGGAGTCGTCGAAACGTCATTCTTGAATATCGCTGCTTTTTATTCTTAATTGTTTATCGAAAACCTTAGTTATTAGAACATTCTTTGTCCCGGCAAAATTTACAGCCGAAATTGTATGGCTTTGACTGTTGACGGTTAAAGATAAGCCCCCTTTTTGACGGTTGACGGTTAAATTTTACATCATTTGACGGTTGATGGTTAATTTTTCGGAATGAAGTTTATAACATGAAATTAGAGTGCAAACTTGGTTGTGATTTGTCACAAATGGATACAATTTTGCCCATATTTGAATAGGTTCAATTAGTCCTATAATTTGCGCATTAAAAAATAGGTCTTTGGTCTTCAACTTTTCCTTTGTTACCGCTGGACGCATTAATCGCGTGCTACCGAGACTAGAAGTCAAAAGACTTGCATAGTCCATAAATGTATTTTTGTGGCATATCAAAACGATCATTTTTGAACACCATACACACCAAACATTTGGTAAACGGTCAATGCCAATTTCGCGACACTTAGAAATTTTTTATTTATCAACGAATTTTTCTCTACGAAAAAAAGAAAATTTGTAAGTAACCACCCAGTATCGAACCCGAAACCTCTGTTTCCTAACATCCCTCTTCTACCACGACACTACGCAAAATTTAATTGTAAAAAGTGACTTTCTTAAATATCAATGATAATGTTGCCCCAACCATCAAATAAAAGCTAACCGCAAGCAAACCAGTGTGAATATGAACAATCAAGCATTTGGCAAGTGCGTTTTACTCAATCAACAAATTAAAACCAGTTTCTACCTTGTCCAGGCCTATACTAAAGCAGTTATGGCATCGTCCATTCTGAAAGGCTTGGTTACTAATGATGGCATCGACCGTTAAAAATGGCATCGACCGTTTACGAAACGGAAATCAGCAGCATAGACCCCATGCTTTAGCCGCAAGGGTCGCTGAATTGTACTGCCAGGACGCTGAAACTCCCTTCACTCGACAAAAGTTTCCCGCCTCAAGATTCCTTTTACCTTCTTTGAAGGCCAGGGAAAGTGCAGTGAAGCCTTTTTAAAATCATTCAAAAATTAAAATAGCGGCATTTTGAAGGTCCTCCCGCTGTAACCGAATGAACTGGGTCTCGCTGAACAAAGTATAGGTATCAAAGGTATTTTTGTCTTAGTTCGTTTCTACGACTTTGCTACTCTTGGATTGTGCAATCCTTGGTAAAATTATATAAGGTAAATCCTCTGAGATCCAGCATATAAACAATGTTGTTGCCTTGATCCCGTCTCAGATGAATATATCACTTTTGCACTTGACGGTATTATTTAGCTTTGTATCGCATTCAGTCAAGCACTCTAGTTAGGTTTCATTAAAAATAATGCATTGTAGCCATCAACAGTGCCAGATATGTTTTCGTGACTATCTCTGTCGATACCAAAAAGTTTCATTGGGATAGCAAACGGACAAAGAAAGCTAAGATTGTCTCTTTCGCTTTCCCTTAATTCCCTAATGTCAATAAATCAGAACTGAGATCCATCCCGTTCAAAGCAATCAGAGCTAAAAAAGAAGTCTACGTACTGACACGATCTTACACCTATCAGCTGTAAACCTTAGTTTGTTTCTTTTATCTTCGTTAAAAGTTATAAAGATCAAGATTCGTGGCTGATTTGCAAAGGAAGTGATTATTTTTTGTTTATGTGATTTTAAATGAAATTTACGCTTTATGTCTTTGAGCAGGTGAAGGTTACTTTTTTTTTTTTAAACCTCGCTTTCGTTCAACTTCCGTTTTTCCCTAAATTAGTGTATTCCGGGAACAAGATTTACTCCGAAATGAGCGCTTGTGTGGTTATTCCAGAACATACCCTGTTGCTTTGAAGTACGACTGAACAAGTACGGATATTTCAGAGAGGTATGAGAGTGATTTTTTTACTTTGGTAAGGTCAATCAAGGAAATGGTGAAACTTTAAATTAATTGTTTAAGGCCGAATCATTTCTTTCCAAAGTGGTTTCTGGAGGCGTTCTCCTAGAATATGAGGCGTTCTCCATGAATATGAACACATGAACATATGATCGGCACTCGCACGGGGATATGAACAAAAACAATATTTTTGCTCTCAATATTTATAATGGCTTTAGATATCTTATTTTTCTGAGTGATGTTCCCAGGTATACTGCTCTGAAATTATCGTATGAGTTTTGAAAATTAAATGTAATTCATGAGATTTTGGGTTTAAAGTAATTCCGAGAAATCGAGGAACTTCGGATCGAAGAGATTGCTGAAGAGATCATCTTGTTTTGGAATTTTCTTTCTTGTTGAAAGATCAAGTGCTGTATTGAGTTGTAAGCAAGGTTCGAAAAACGGTCATTTCATGCATGCGTGTAATTTAGATTTGTTTCCAGAAAAACCGAGTGATCGACTTACTTACGCTAAAATTACTAGATGTGTGAGTGAGTTTTTGATGAAGCAGGAAGTTCGACATAATTCCAAGAAATCGAGGAACGTAAAAGTAATTGTTTCATGAATAATACATATCTCCTAGATATGGCCCTGTTTGTTTTATTATATTATATTTTTTTCAAAAACTTTGTAGGGCGAACACTGAGCGAAAGCAAACCATTTTAGCCAAACAACGCCGGATTTTCGTCTAGTGAGAACGCGGAGTCAAATTTCTCAGTCAAGGCAAGTTATGCATGCTCGCATTAATTGGAACCCTATTCGGTGAAACATTTATTATGTAAGAATCAAAAATATTGTTTTTCTGCTCTTGTTTCCTTTAAGTGACGTCGTTTAAACGTGCGGTTGCTTTCTGTGGCAAGAATTGTTTTCTGGAACCCACTGAGTGTCTCCTGAGTTGGCAATGTTCTGACGGATTCCTCGAAAGATGTTCTTTAATTGACTTTAGTTTTGAATAAATTAGTACGTGTATTTTGTTCGTTTTGAAAACATTCAGCTGGTTTCCCAACGAGTGTTCGTCAGTAAGATTCATTATTAAGATCGAGAACGTTTGGTATATCAACTGATATGCAAAAAGGTAAGTTTTGAAACGGGAAGGTGCTTGCCAAAGTTTTGGTTTTTGCATCAGAACTATAATGGAAATATGTCGAGCATTTCAGATCGATTAAGATGCGCTGAACTGCCTTTTATCTACCTAAATCTGAAAGAACAATAATAGTGCAAGAGTACTATCGTATAGAATTAAATGGGAAAAAAAGCAAATCTAGCTATTTAATTAAAACAAGCTTTCCATCTTCACACAGTTTTGCTAGTCTTGAGCGTGAGATGGAGGACCGAGCAATGCTAGCGACATTGGCTTTTAAAGCCTCAGCAACCTACGAACAAGTCCGGTCGAGTTATACAGTTGAATCTGTAAAGTTCCTCTTGAAAAAGCTTGGCATCCTAGAGCAGGAGAGAGTGCAACCCCTCAGTATACTTGAATTAGGCTGCGGTACAGGAAAATTCACTCGAGTTATGATGGAAGTGTTAGAGGGTGTCGACGCACGGGTAATAGCGAGTGATCCAACTGATACCATGATACGACAGTTCCAAAGAATTTTGCCTAAAGTCGAGGTGCTCCAGTGCTATGCTGAGAACATTGGTAGGTTTGCTTTTATCTTATTTATGTCACCTTACAAAAAAACAAAAAAACAAAAACAAACAAACAAACAACAACAACAAAACAGAATCGGAGCATGCTTAAGGTCTCTGCACGGTGACAAGGATCATCTGACAGTTACTAACTAAACTCAGTCGCGGAAGCATTCCGATTGCTTTAAATACAATTATGTAGTTGGATTCTTGCGCTGATCATGAATATGATTGTCGAAAGAGGATAAGAAGCCTTAAAGTGTTTATCTCAAATACTTCAAGAACACTTGAAATGATATCGGGGTTAGGTTCACACGATTTGAATGAAAATATGAAAGAAACTTTTTACAATAAAAGCAGAAATTCTCGTGCGCTCATTGGCTAATTTTTATTGTCAATGAACGAATAGACACATGATTTATAATCTATGCGATAATTTATTGTAAAAACAAAAAGACGTCAGTTTATTAAATATGTATGCAGACACAGCTTAAATTTTCCGAGCTCTCGATCTTCAGGTTTCCATAATATTAAAATAGAACTCTAGCATTATTAAGTTATCTTTAATCATTGAACACGTGTACTTGAAAAAGAAAAACCTCAGGACACGTTACAGACCTTAGAGTAGTTAAATTATGTTAGTTATTTGCGTAGATTTTTATGTGTAGATGTATTTATAAGTTTTATAAATCTATTAGTATTCTATCTCCCTATCACGAATTTTCGTTCTCTGATTGGCTACGCTACTCACTGTCTATTGTGTTGTAGATAGTGAGTAGCGTAGCAGTGTGCCCTTGTTAACAAATTGACGGCCGCTTCTTCGCGTTTTCGAAGTGTGTGTGAAGAGGATTTAGATAAAGTTTTGAACGACTAGTAGATTTATACTAAAACAGTCAGACTACTCGCGTTCGATTTCTATCGCGCGATAGTTGAGTCGGGCTTAGCCATCGTCAACTATCACATGATAGAAATCTCGAGCTCATGATCTAATTGTTTAATATAGCTCTTCCAGACTCGAGTGTTGATGCAGTTGTGGCAGCCCACTGTTTCCACTGGTTTGCAAACCAAGATGCTGTGACCGAGATATACCGGGTATTAACCCCTGGGGGATCCCTAGGAATGATCTGGACCATCCCAGATGAGTCGGTTCCTTGGGTGAAAGATGTGTCAACTTTTTTTCGCCCACTGGAGGAAGACTTCAAGTGCACTACTTCTAAAGAAACCATGGGGAAAGTTTTTGAAGAAGTTAGTGAGCGCTTTACTGTCGAGAAGGATTCTAGTGTTAAGATTTCGTGGCAGGTTACCTACGATGGCTGCTACAAGTGCTTCGCTTCAAAGGGCATTTTGCAAAGTAGCTCGGATGAAATCAAAGGACAGTTTAAGACTTGGTTCGATAATGTTATGACAAAGCATTTTCCTGTAAGGAAAGAAAACCAGAAGTTCACTTTTCCTTTAGTTTTCTTGATCTGTTGGTGTAGAAAAATCAACCACGAAATTTAGGTTTTTGTGGTACATGAGGGAGATAAGCCCCTAAATGGTCGGCTTTCCTTATATTCACATCGTCTTCCAGAATATTTGTGAAGGTATCCCTTGTTTATTACATCACGGTCAACCCAAAATCCTATAAAAGCGTGTGCATGACTTTTTGTTAATTTTGCAAATGTCCAAATCAATGATGTATTTAGATATTGTACAAATAAAAATTTAGACAGTTCCGTGTGCGATATAATGATAGTTTTACTGCAACCTCAAAGCTTTACGAATACACCGACGAGAAAATAACACAAAGTCTATTAAGCCGTTACTACTTATGTCAAGTTGTGTCTCAACTAGAGTTCGCTCCATAAAGCCCGGCTTAAAGGAAACTAAGAGCTTTGGAGTCACTCCAAGTGTTATACTGTTAATACTTAGGACGCTTAAACGCTTCGGACGCTTGAAAATTTCGGACGGTTTTATTTTCGGACACCATTTTTGTCGGAAATTAAAATCGTCCGAAGTTTTTTGCAAGTGATATGAAAGGATTTAATGCTGCCCAATTTGGAAATGATTAATTGAATTAAAAAGGAAATTCCTCTGAATAGCAAATTGGACTTGGCCTACGGCTTCGTTCAAAAAATTTGGCTCTCGTTGCAATTTGTCTTTTTTTTTTTCATTCAGTTAGTTTTAAATGGGACAGCGTCATTCCCTGGTAACCAATCCGGGGTTTCGCCACATATAATTACCAAGATACAATTACCTTTAATTTGGCAGCAATTCAACAGTAAAATAGTTTATTAACACAGTAATTACTTTCAAGCTATATTCCCTCGCAAAATCTCTTAGTCACGATGGGGTAAGATCGTCTTAGGACGAGTACAATTTTCGGATTTCAGGAGCAAAATACGGAAAACCGAAAAAAATTGAATTGTTTTGCACTTTTACCTTTTAGTTGAACGTTGAATAGCGATTTAAGCCTTGAGTTTACTCTGAAATGTTGCTTGGAAGAGCGAGTAGTCATTAGGCCCTTTGCACGATCCGGTCACATGGTACAAAATCACACATGCTGGAACGCAGGTTGCACAGTGGGAAGTCCCACT